CTTTCCCCCTTAATTTCTATCTTAATGACTAGTTTGCTTTCTATATATTATTGTATTTGTTTACATGTTTAGTCTTTCTTTTTCTAGAACATAAGCTTCATGAGTGCAGGAACTTGTCTGTCTTGTCTCTGTTTGTCCAGCACCTGGGACAGAGATCAGCATAGACCAGATGCCCTGTAATTGTGTGTTGAACAAACACAGACCTACCATTGTTGACTTTTTCTTCTTCACAACATATTTCCTTATCAAGGCAGTTTCTTATTTATAATTTGTCTCCCAAAGGGGAATTTATATTGTGCTTTTTAAAATTAGAATGTGGTTTTTGTAGAAGCAACCTTTCAAAAACTTGTGTTTCCAATGGAGTCTTTGGAATCCTATGCAGCAGCACATAAAACTGTCATTCATGCTTTAAAAACTGAGTGGATAGATAGCATATGGCCCTGCTGCATATGTACAGGATTTTAGTTATATAGTCTCTCTATCCCTCACCCAGGTTCTGTAATGGGCTGAGGGAGATACAGTCAGGTGACCCCCAAGTCTGGAACATACACGTGTGGTTGTAGAAACAAGTGATGGCAAACACGACTTGCGGTGAGAGGGAGGAAGGAAATCGAGCAGGAGACTACCTGGTACCTGTGGGGCCCAAGCAGGAAAGCACCTTACTTTTCTTAGTAATGTGGGTGCCCTGTGGCTTCCGGGCTTCATTAACCTTCCTTCCATCATGTCACAAGGATGTGCCCCCTTGTGCTGTTTTGGGATCATTTCCAAAGCTTATCGCTCCTGGAGGCTGGGAAGCCAAATGGTCAGGGCATGCTTGAATAGAGGGGGCTTTTCCCACAGGTTTTCTAATCTGTCTGAGAAGGGGACAACAGGCCAACCCTGGGATGGAATAATAAAGGGGTAAATGGCAGCCAAACCAGGCAACCTGCCCCCAGCTTCCCTGGGAGGGACTCCCTAGTCAAGGTTCCTTCACAGCCAGGCCAGCTTTCCTCAGGCAGAGGCATCAGGGACCTCCCCCTCTCCCAGGCGTCCTCTATTCCGAGGTCCAGGAGTGTGGCCCCTGGAGGAAGGGTTCTCCCCTCCCCCTCAGCGGCCAGGAGGAACCCTGGAATGAAGGCCATTCCCCACTGCAAACAGAAGCCCAGGCCTCAGCGATCTCTTCCTGCGTGTGACTCCGCAAAATCCTGTGCTTGTCCGCTGAGCCGTTTCCACCCTGAGGTCCAGCATTTTCCACCCCCACCACGTGCCCTGAGGCTGCTCTCGCCCTTTCTCCGCCCTCTCCCCCACTCCAGGTGCCTGACGGGGGCTGAGTTTCCACTTTCTCCTGGTCCGGGCCCTTCCAGCGGGTTCTGGTGAGAAGTGGAGAGGACGGCTCGGGCTCTGGCGCGCACGCCTTCATTGTCTTTCCCCAGGCCCCGCTGCTTTGCCTTCCACTGTTCGCCAAGGAAACTGCGGCCAGCGGATGGCTGAGGACCAGGAGGGCCAGCTGCCCTTCCCCCCGCCCCCCACTGCCCTCACCGTGCAGCTTGACAGCCACAGCTGCCCAGGGTGTGCAGCGGAGGGGACAAGGTGACTTAGAACAAGCCTCACTAGCCACAGGGTTCCCACATTCACTCCCGGTGTGACGGCTGCCGGCTTTAGTTTGTTTTCTGGCTAATTTGCATGCCTAGCTGTGAGGAGTGCACACATTTCTTTTAAACTACAGAAGAAAAAAGCTGACACTAGCCGCCAGTAAATCTAGACAGCCGGATAAGCAGTTTGCCTGAAACCGAGGTCGTCACCACACTGAAAATGACAGATATGCTGGGCGGTTGCCAGCACACCCCAGAGAACTCCAGGATGGGCCCCCAGACCCAGGAATACCAATATCCCCCTCAGAGGGTGGGAATTTTGTTTCGCTCTCTCTATTTTAAGTCAGGAAACAGTCTAATAAACGGTTAAATGGATTTGCTAGAAAATATTTAAGTCTAAGGCGACAGTTTCCAAATTCCCCGCAGAGACTGGACACAAGGGAACATCGGCAGCCAAGCCTGTTATTAAGAAGGTCACAAGATGCCATCTGTTACCGTGTGCTCTTTACTGTTCAAGCATAACATCAAGCAGGAGGTGGCTGCAATTGCTTCTGCCCGTGAACTTAAAAGGTAGCACGTTGGTGGGCACTACAGTCGCTTTAGTGGGCTTGTGTGAACAAACCACGTGTCTGCCTACGGCATGGGCCGGGGTCACAAGGCGAGATGATGAGAGAAGACGAAGCATTGATTTGAGGTCTTTCCTTGGTTATGGCTCAAATGTGATTTGCGATGCTGCCGGCCGATTTTCCTAATTTTATTTCTGCCTTGTTTTAGCCAACTGTAAAATATAATAGCGTTCCTTCTTTACCTATAATTGTGAAATTAAGGCAGAGAAATGAATGCTTTGTCTTTTATTCCGAACTTAAATCATTTGTTTTAATCCGTAGAAAAGTTGAAGGGATAGTGCAATCAATATTTGCCAACTCTCACTTAGATTCATCAATTTGAACATTTTGCCATATTTGTTAACATGGAGCTTTATCTCAGTCTCTCTCTATTGATACTTGCATATGCTTCTTTGCTGAACGATCGAGCATAAATTACAGACATCGTAACAGTATGTCCTCAAATACTTCAGCCTGTGCCTCCTACGAGTAAGAATGTTCTTTTACAAAACCATAATACTATTATCACACTTAAGAAACTCCATAGTGATAGAATAAACGTTTTTAAACCTAATATACAGATCACTAAACGCCTTATTCTTAAAAATCTGTCGGGAAAAGATTTTCTCTGTCATCTATCCCAGTGGTTAGCAGCTCTTTCTTTAAGATACCTCATATTTTTGAGGCAGTTTGAAAAGTCTGATGAAAGCTCTGAGCCCTGTCTGCAGAAAGATATCCACGAAGACACCTCTACAAGCCAACAGTGCACATGTCTAAGTTCCCTCCAGGTGTCCATGGACTGTAGGTTAAATGTTGTTCATCTTTGATCAAAATTCTCCTCTTTCGTGTACATACAATTTAGGACCACAGTACTCAGAAAGGTTAAGAATGGTTTGTCTTCACTTTCCAACATTATGTTTTATGTTCATGCGGCTTCATTTCTAGAAACTCAAAGTTTCAAGCAACTCAGAGATGGGTAGGTAGGAAATCGTATTATTCCCAATCTATGAAAAGGATACCGAATCACAAACACAGCTAAGACTTGTACTATGAAATATACCCAGTAGGCAGATTAAATGATTAGAGGATGAATACTAGACAAATACTCCCAAACTTGAGTTTCCCTGATTTTGAAAGGGCTGATGCTCACTAACCCACACTTGCTTTCTTGACAATCTGCTTTGAAAAACCAAGTACCTGTAGCATTCCGTCAGTAAGGGCCTAATACATAAAGGTGAAATTTGTTCATAGTTACTATAATTGTTATTTTCATCAACAAAGTCACCCGGTTTGGTTGCGGTTCTAGGACTAGGATGTGGAAGCTGGCAGGTAGATGCACACAAGCAAACTAGGGTAACATTAAATGTCCTTAATTGAAAGGCCAGCTGAAACTGCCAAGGTCAAGTGGCTCTATTTTGTCAACTGTGAACTCACAAGGAAAAGAATCATTAGCTAACCATACTTCAACATATGTGAGCTTGTTGGTGTTCCTCTCCATAAACAGACTAAAGAAAATGAGAGACATTTCTAGCTCAGTTAGAAAAATGATCAATTTTGGCCAAAAGTTGGACATAAATGTGTAAATCCCTCGTGTAGTGGTCTAGCAAAAATTCTAATGCCTCTTTACTCCCTATAATCCACCAAATGCCTCAGTATTACTTTCTGTAAAACTTTAATATTATAGTATCATATTTACTAATTAATGATTATCTCATAATTCTTGAAAGGAAAGATGACCCCCCCAAAAAAACTAGTTAGAGCCTTAGGCAGTCCTATGGGATTTATTAGAGCTTTGAAAGGCTAAGGATTCATAGCCAATGAAATAATCAGAGCTAATTGTGCAAGATAAGCTTCTTACCTATCTGCTTTTACTATAGGTGTGAAAAGGTGGGTCTTTCTTGAATTTAGCTAAATAATTGTTGAACTCTTTATTTGACTTTAGCTTAAGATATCTCATTTTAAAAAGTATCAGCATAAAATAGCATAAGTAACAAAGAATATTTGCTAAAGGCTATTTCTTATGTCTCTCCTTTCACTCATCCCTAATGACCAGACCCCAGCATATTATGCAAACGAGATCCTCTTTTTCTTTATTGATCAATTTTTATTTTTTAATCGAATTAATTTTTTTTATTATTTTTAAAATAAAAATACACCTGATAACATGATGAGTTATTAGGGAAATGCAAATTAAAATCACGATGAGATATGACTTCACATCCATAAGAATAGCTATAATCACAAAGACAGACAGTGATAAACGTTGGTGAGGATGTGGAGAAACGAACCTTCATTCACTGGTGGGAATGTAATATGGTACGGCCACTTTGGAAAACACGTTAACAGTTTCCTAAAAGTGAAATAAATTTACCATAGGATCCAACAATTCATACCTAGGTATTTATCCAAGAGAAATGAAAACATATGTCTACACAAAGATTTATGCATGAATGTTCACTGCAGCGTTATCCATAAGAGCCACATTGAAAATAACCCTTATGTCTGTTGGCTGGTAAGTGTGTAACAAAATATGGTATATTTATACAATGGGATACGACTCATCAATAGAAAGGAAAAAATACTAAAGCAGCTGCCAGATGGACAAACCTCAAAAACATCATGATAAGTAAAAGAAGTCAGACATAAAAGATCACATAATGTACAATTCCATTTATATGAAGTGTCCAGTAAAGGCAAATATATAAAAAAAAGTGGGTTAGTGGTTTTCTGGGACTAGAGGTCGGAGAAGAGATTTTCCATAAATGGGCATGAGGGATCTTATTGGGATAATGAAAATGCTCTAAAATTAGATTATGTATTATGGTGATGGTTGCATAACTTGATAAATTTACTTGAACTCATTGAACTGTACATTTAAAGTGGGTTGATTTTATGGTATGTAACTTTTGCCCCAATAAAATTGTTAAAAAATACACCAGATCTTCTTCAGACATATAAAAATTTATAGCCTTAGAATTTCGGCATGGTTTGGTTCCTCTGATTTTAAGAGCATAAGCTGTGTATCATAAAAGAATGTTCCAGGCAGAAAAATGTTTACCTTGACTTCTGGTTTCTGATTCTGCATGTAAGGAGCCTGGAAGTCACCATTCTGTCCTAATAGGCAGAAAGCTGAATAGGCTAAAAAATCAATAGCTCTTCTTGGATCCTTAAGAGAGGAATGGACACAGGGCCAATCACTGCCCCCCAAATTGGAGAGGCAGACATTCAAATACGGGGCATCGCAGCTTACCCAAGCAGAGACCCAGCAGTGGGAACCACCATAGCAACCAGTGTCAGGGGTGCAATATCTCAACTGTAATTGACAAACTGCCAGAGGCACAAGGCAGACAAGCCTAGGAATTAACAACTCCAGGGGACCCAGGCATATTGGCATCCCTACAGTATTATAAGATTTATCTTCAAGAGCTCAACCAGGATCCCATAGTAGACATCAGGGGAAAATCCCCTCCGTGTTTCTGGCAGAGGGAGAGGAAAAGAAAAGATTTTGAAACACTCCGAACACTGTGTTCTTAATAAGGAGAAACTAGTTAACCAGAAATTAGTCTGCCGGGGCGTAATTCCCCTTCTCCTGGGTCGGTTAGGCTAACCAGAAATTAGCCTAACCAACCCAGGAGGAGGGGAATTACCCACCTCAAACCCACCCCAGCCACCCCGTTCCACCTAAGCAGGGGAAGAACAACCTCAGAAACACCGGTGAAGTTCACAGTCCAGAGACCTAACACAGGCCTACTTCAGAAAAACCTCCGAGGAAGCTCAAGGACATCTGAAACTAACTTATTCTGATAACTGTTTTTATTATAGGCTCTTATAATTTCCATGTCTCCTTAGCTGTTATCAGTACTGTTTTCTTTTTAAAATAGAATTGAAATGTGTACCATTAAAAAATTTTACCCAGCCCCCACCAAAAACTCCAGGGTGTCTACTAGAAATTAGCATTTAGTCAGTTTCATCTTAACCTAACTCTTTCCTGTTGGTCAGATTCTAAAGGGAAATAAGTGCTATGTGTACAATTTGTTGGTACAGCTTAATTGGAAGTGTAAGAAATTTTACCCTAACACTGGTTTTCTCTTTTTTGTTTGCACACAGGTCTATTCCCTCACATAACCAGTTCCTTTAAAAAATCAGTTGATGTCAAGCACAGAGTGGTAAGTCCAACCTTTCTCAGCAGTCATTTCCAGGTGGAGAGCCTAAATGACTGCACGCCACTGCTCCCAGGGGAGAGGTAGCGTCAGGCTCCCGTGAGCCTCTGGTCACCACATTGTCATCAACTGATCAATACGGAAATTTGTGTTCTGTGTGTTTCTGTTTAAAGACACTTTATTTAATATGTTTTGTCGATTCATTACCATTGAACTTACAGTCAACAGCACTGTAACTCATGCCTACGTGAAGATTATCTAACACACGTATTTTTTCCATAAAACACATCAGTCTTCTCGTGCTGAGGAACACGAGACAGCACATCAGCACTACACGTGGGGGCCATTTTAAGCAATGAAATCGCTAACAAAAAGCATAAAAATGCAGAAAATGGGACACTTGTTTACCGTATGAGAGTTGCAAGAAGCAGCAGCAAAGAGTCCTCTTGTTCAGCCTCGACTGAGAACGTGCATGTCAGGGGACTCAAACTGTTCACCACTCTGTGCGTGTCCTTGAATGACCTCAGAAGTGTGAATGTTGTCTTTGGGTTACAAATAAATTTTAGCGAGTAGGCAAATTCACAAATATGGAATCCACGAATAATGAGGGTGGATGGTTTCATTTCCTTTGCACATTTTTCTATTAGTATTTAGCTTTCTTATGATTTGTCTAAGTTATTTGCATATTAGGATAGTACTCTTTTGCCCATCCTATTTTATCAACATTTCCCCCAATTTATCTTTCCATTTTACTGTTAGAATCTGTTATCACAGTGGCTTTGGGCAGCAGTATCAAAGTGCCTTTTGGATGGGGAGGACAACGCTGCGGAAGGAATCTTGTTAAGTTTCTGTCGTTGTGAAGGTGGTCAGTATTTACCTTTATCTCTCCTTTTCACAGGCACACCAAATTCTGTCTGCTGATTTTTCTCCAGCACCTCCAGATTATGAAAAACCATGTAAGTCCCATCGAAGCTACCACTTTATATCCATGTTCTGCATTTGCCCGAATTAAGGTCTTCATTCGATATTTTCATCCCTTCCAGAGCCTTTGGCATTTCTGCCTCCTTCCTCCTTCGAGTCCCTTTTTACTTCGCGTCCCTTTTTACTTCATTGTACCTCTGCCAGCCGTGAGGAGAGTAGGACGCAGAAATAAAAGCAGGGGGGAATCCCACAGGAGACCTCCGCCAGGGGCAGCTCTGGAATCGGAGCCCATGTGAGAAGGTTGTGGTGGTGGCAGAGCTTGGGGGCGGGGCGGGGCGAGCAGTGTGTACGAGAGGGATTGGAACTGTTGATTCGACATCAGTTTAGGACTATCCGTTAATTTCATTTGTTCATTCTAGTGTAGACTCTGTTCATCACGAGCACTTACATAGTGCCTGTCTGTCTCTTCGTGTTAGATGTGAGAATTAAAAAGCCAGCCTTTGAGAAACTGATGAGCTGTAATCGACGAAGGACAGATTACCTGAGGCGTGTAAGAATCTTTTTACTTGTCACCCAGCAGTGGATCCCTGGGGTAGCGTCAGTAAGTGTGTGTGGTGTGGCAGTGAGGGTGTCGGCATGTGTGTTTAGAGTGGGTGTGAAAGTAATCCCTAATTTACAGTCAAGTGACAAATAGAAAAGTAGACTGTTCTGATAAGCAGGCCTCCTTGAAGCATTGTGAATATTTCTTGTCTGGAGCTTTCCAGGTGTTTCGGAAACAAGTCTCGAAAGGGGACTGGAATTTCTCTTGTACCGTCCAAATTTTCATGAGTGGTATCAGTGATTTGCTGGATTCTGCCTCTTGCAGAAAAGGCAGTTTGTTTTCAGTCAGACTGTCCTGCCTTCTGGGGACCCACCCTGGGTGCCTAGTGTCCTGGTCCCACTTTGCTCATGTGGCTGTTCTGTCATTTAACATCTACTGTCCCCGTGGCCCCTGACATGGCCCTCCAGAGCAGGGGCTCTGTTTTGCTTGACCAGACTTTCTCAAAACTCAGTAATTTTTAACAAGATGTTAAAACAGGACTGTTTATGTCCCAAAATTCTGGCAGAGACTCCTAGAGAATGAGTTGAAAGTATAAAAACTGCTTTCTGCACATACACCATGCTGACTTCACCTCATTAATACAAATGTTACAACTATTTTTGCTATCTTATTGCTTTTGTTTGTTAATATTTCTCTAAATTGACCTAAAACAACAACTGAGACTTACCTTAAGTAATTATATTTGCAATACCGTGGGTTGGGTATGTTAGTTATGTGTATTAGGAAAAAAAAATCTGACTGTTAAAATAAAAAATGTTATTCGAGTACCACCTAACATGATCACAAGAACCACCAGTTATAGATAGATATCACTCTGGAAAATGCTAGTCTATGAGCACCAACTAGCTAATCTGATAAATTTAGCTAATGGGACGGGGTTGGATGGCCCACCTCCGTCCTCAGGTCTATTTAATGGTGGCCTTCCAGAAATAGTGCATTTTTCTTGATTTTTCTGCTGTAGGACCTGGTAACTTTCCTATGGAGCATGTCAAGCATGGGAAGGCAGTGCAGTGGCAGGCTGTGTGGGGAGTTATTCGGGGGGCATTTGCAGCTGGGCAGTTTCCACTGAAAATTAGAGTGTGTGGGCAGCCAGGGTCCTCCCTTCACTGGAGGGTTGGTGCGTGCTTCTAGGAAGGGTAGACAGTTTCCTGAAAGTGTATTTACTGCAGGCTGGACTCCTGGGAGTTGCCTGGGAGAATTATTAACTGTTGTTAGATAAATAAATCCCTCTTGCCGCATGGAGCTGTACCCGTGCCAAGCGATCCCACTGCCAGTGTCCGCAGCTGTTCTGGGGAACAGTTGCCTTTCTCTCTGAGGTGCTTCCCCGACCCCCTCCCCTAAAGTGAATTCTCTATGTCACAGTAGCCTCTTTTAAGTCAACAACTCCCAACAAATTAGCGACCATTACATACTGCTCTTCTTTTTATGGTGCGACCACAGACTAAAAGTATACACACATCTCCCCGCACCACACAATTCATACGGGGCACTTTTTTTTTTTTGGAAATATTGGGCCTAGAGTTCTGACCAAGAAGTAAATTGTGACTTTTTATTAAATAAGGCAAAATTTTAATTTGTTTTTATAGATGCTATATTTCAGTGGAAGAGAATAAGCACTGAGATGTAAAACATACCAATTCTTGCATTGGAGTCAAGTAGGGACTGAATGAAATTTATAACCATCATCAACAATATTTTCACTTTAAAGTGATCTGTTTGGTGTCTAATGCCTTTGGTAATCGACTTCTAAGTATTTATATTTCTGGGCCTTATTTTCAAGAAGTTTATGATGTTAAACTGAAAGCAGAGAAAGTTATCACACCCAGCAATGTCAGGACTAAAGGAATGGTTGGAAAGATGGACAAGACTCTTGTGGCTTAAGGGTGGTCAGGGGGCAGCAGAGAAGCAGTGGGTGATCTAATCAGTGGCTCCAAGACTCCTCGCTTTTATTTTTTTCTCTCCTGCTGATTGATCTGGCCCTCCTGACAGAGACAGGATAGGTGAACTAGGAAGATTAAAGCAGGTGGAAGAAAATGCAGGAACAATCCCAGCTCCAGCTCATGAATGATGTCTGGCCATTTCGTTTCCAGTTTTGTGCAAAAAAAAAAAAAAAAAGTAACCTTTGCGGTAGGGCAAGCCCTGACAACCAGGCCATTTTTCTCCAGCTTCCGGAACACTATAATTCTGCGAGCAAGGTTGGCTCATCTGAAGACTCAGATGCTGATCAATACTACGTTTATAGTCTGGGAGGACCGTTAGAGCCATTTAGCTGAGTCGGAAAACGAAGCCACAAAGCTGGAAGCCTGGAGTTTGTTTAATTGACGACTTTGAGGTATGAGAGGGCCCGGGAATCTGTGGACTTTGGCAGGCTGGCTTTCTTGGACACTTCCCTGGGCTTCAAAAGCCTTCATCCTTCAAGTTTTGTTCTCTTTAATTGGAAGAGGGGACAGAAGTTATCGTTCTAGCACTTATTAAATTTTCCTTTAAAATAACTACTTGGAACCACACATCTCTGCAAGAATCACAGAAATGGTGGTGCGTCCCCGACAGCTGTGGGCTCCACAGTCAAAGAGTCAGTCCCTTCCATCTGGGAGTCCGGCCGGGGCGGGGCGCAGCGCAAGGGCGTGAGAAAGACTTTTTTGTATTCAGAGCAATGGTCCCGCGCATCACTAGCCAGGTTGTCCTGCGCCCGAGGCGCCGCTGGGAAGAAAATTGGCCCTGGCCATCTGGCGGGCGGGGTGGGGGGGGCGACACGAGTCGCGGCTGGAGCGGGAGCTTGGGGACAGGAAAGTCGCGGCCTTTCACGCCTCATCTCTCTTGGGAGGGGCCGAGTCCCCCCCAGGCCCCGCCCAAGACCCGCCCCTTCCACGACCCCGCCCCTGCCCTGGTCTTCCTCTCCCCACTTCCCTTCTCCGTTCGCCTCCCTGCTTCCCTGCAGGTCCTACTCCTTCTCCCTCCAAGATCCTCCCCCTGTCGTGTGCACAACCCTCCTCCTCTCCCTCACTTCCCTCTGCATCCCTTCTTCCCCTACCTTCCCCCTCCCACGATCCACTCCCCCGACCTTCCGCCCCCGCCCGTGCGCAGCGCGCTGGAGGGCGGGCTCTGGCGCACAGACCCTGCGCGCGGGAAAGGACCCCGCCGCGGTCCGGGGCAGCCCAGGGCCCCAGCAGCTGCTCGTCCTAGGAGAAGAGGCAGGACCACACGTGGTCACGAAAGTAGCCGCCTCCAGCCCCTTCTTCCTCCCCACCCCTGCTCCATTTACTCTCGTTTACTAAGACTGACCTTTATATGATTTCTGTTGAATTGAAAAGGTAATTAAAAGTAACATCATCACCCTCCCCCAGCAAAGGGGGCGAGGGTGGTGGAAAACCCTGCTAGTGGTTGCTTTTGTTCTTTAGCCCAGGTTAGGCTAAATACATTCCCAGCAAGCCATCTGGTCTCATTCCCGAGATCCCTTCGTACGGTTTCCATTAAGCTCGCCAAACTGTGCATTGAAAATGCAGCCCTGGAGCCACTCCGGGCTTTAGCCCTGGCCAGTGTCAGCTAGAGACGCTCAGGCCTCTTTTAAAGTTCTGAGTCTAGTACCCAGTGGTCCTGGCCTTACGCTGTAATGAATATGCTTTACTACGAGAAATGTCTCCGTGTTAATGATTATTATTCACTCATGCAGGATGTTTTTTAAAACTGTATGTAAGGCTTAACTTATTAGAATTCTGTTTCAATTCTTAAAAATATGTTAACAGCTTTGCAGATGATTTTACAAAATAACCTGGCCACAGAAATTCAATTTGACCACCGCATTTGTGTGCTTGGGTCTGTACCTCTCCGCTTGCTGTCCCCCATTCCTTTAACACCCCCACCCCCACCCCAAAGGCAAAAAACAAATGTGAGCTTGTGGGAAAATATTCCCTTACTCTTGGGTTGGGGTTTGTGGTCCAAGGTTCTTAGAAGCATAGAGTGCTATAACTGGAAAGTTCCTCAGAATTCATCAAAAATAAGTCTGTCCATTAATTGAAACTCAGAAGGTTTGGGGCTTAGGGGAGGTCACATGGCTTATGAGTAAAGTACTAACTCTTTCAGCGCTGTGGTCTAGACATCAAATGTTCCATCACAGACAGCAACGAGGAAGGACTGTGATCACACTCAGCTCTGTTGTGACACATCGCCTCTCTCCAGCCCTTTACTCTGCAGGCCCCTCTCTGACTTACTGTAGGTCCTGCCTATTTGGGGATTTATAGCCTTTCTTCCTTCCCCTCATTTAGGCTTCACTCCTTTCTTTCTCTTTTTCTTTCCTTTCTATCCCCAACCCCACCCAAGCCCCAACCATGAGATTTTATTTGGCTTTTTAAAATGAAACCAGGTGCTGCATAAAACAAGAGCAGAGTAATAACAAGGAAAGACTATCCAACGCCTAAGGAATGTGCTGAGTTTTATGACTCAAGCTGTCCTGGCAAGGAACTCTGACTTACATGGAGAGGTGGGTGGCACGGAGCACAGACCATACATGGCAGCCTGGCCTTCCCAGATAGGTTGGTCAAGGCAGCCTGTGACTCACTTGACAAAACCAAAGACTCTGTTCCTTGTGGAACAAGACTTCTGGAGGCTAGAGCCAAAGGATCATCAATGTTTCCCCACAGGCCAGTTCAGCCAGACATAGCAGGGGCCACCCCGAGGTTTGGAGGGGAAGGGATCCTGGGCAGAAGGCCATCCCCAGGAAAGAAACAGGCTCCACCTGCCAGGGTTTTTGGTGCATTTAAGAGATGAATAGCGTGTGAGCTGCAAAATGACAGGAAAATTAGCATGTATTGTTGTAGAGACAATGGCTTGCAAGCTCCAGGTGGCAGGATTGCCCCGGAGGTGTTTGCTCTTTGCAGCAGTGTGCGGTGAAGAGTATGGGATAAGCTGGTCCCAGGCTGGAGGGTTTTCTGGGGTGCCATCTCTAGCACGATCAGAAGTAACTAAGAACAGGAGTGGCGGACTTTACATAAACACCCTGCTAGAGAGACACCCAGGCACACATCCTCACATTCTGAGAATTCTTTTCAAATGGCCACAGTAACGGGGTGAGGTGTACATTTTTTCCGTTACTAAGAGACAGGCCGAGAGAGCTGGGAGCACTAAGGAGAATTTCTTAACAGAGGTGGTGGGAGGGGCCTGCACTTTGATGACAAGGATCTGTTTGTGGGCCCTTCATTACGCAGGCCTGAGCTGAGACTGATAGAGCTTTTGGTTTCGACCCCCCACCCCCAACCCCCAGAAGGCTGTCACTTTCTGAATGAGAATGAACCTTGACTAGCATAAATGAGATCTCCGGGCAGCAGTCTCATTGAATGGGGCTTTATTTTTCCTTTTCTTCTTTTTTTTCCTTGTCCTCTCTATAGAATACGCATGGAAAAGCTACGGTGACTATTCCATAATTTCAGGAAGAGCTCTGCTTAACTTTTTCATTAAAGTCTACTTACCTGGAAAAATAAAGTCCTTTAAGGACCATGACTTCATAAATATTTATAGCGTGAACAGGCGTCACTCTGGTTCTGCAGGAGAATGGGCTCATTCAGCTTTATTTATGATGTGACACTCGGATGAGTGACATCCGTCATCTGGGTCGGCCCTACACTCTGTTCCACTGAAGGATGTTTATGGAGTGATGATGCCTGCAAATAGTTGCTATATTTAGTCTCTCTCCTTCCCTAACCCCCTCTTAGCCTTTTTAACTCCCCAAACCAGCAAAAAGCCAAGCTTACGGTCTAGGGAAGATTTGAACCCTAACGACAAGGCACAGGATCTTGAACAAGTAAGTGCTGTAGGAGCAGTTGACGAGTGGAGAGGCAATTAGAGTGGGAACAAGGACTTATTATAGCATTTATACGCTAAGGTGGTGGTTTCGTTGGGCCTGTGTCTAGCAGGCGAGGGCTCTCGGCCGGGCAGGAGGGGTTTTGACAGGTGATGGGTGCAGGCCTGAGTGAAGAATGCAGATGGATATTTATGCAGGGAGCTTTCTCTGGACAGGATCTCAGATCTGTCACTGTGCCCCCTGGGGTTCTGGGGGCAGAGCCCGGTGGGAGCTCTGTGACCTCAGCTGGGTCCAGGTTTCTGGTGTAACCCAAGGTTGTCCACTCTCAGCCACACCTTGCCCTTGGCTGGGGGACAGCAGCTGCCCTCCATCAGCTGTGGAGGGGGGAGGGCCACCTCTGGCTTCCAACTTTACAGCTGCCCATGCCCTGACCTAGGCATTCCAGGCTGGACTTGGGCCCGCTTCAGGGCTCAGTGCTCGCCCCTGATCAGCTTGGCCTCCTATTGTTTATCCTGAGAAAGGCCAGGTCTTGGCACAGGGGTCTGAAGTGTTGCCAGCATTTTATTTTTAGAGACAAGAAAATGTTTGTTTTTTGGCAGCTGTTCTTCTTTTTTTTTTTTTGGCACACATCGGGATGGCGTAAAAAAGTTCAAGTGAGAGATTCCAAGCCCCGAATTCACGGCATATGACAGAGGCCACACTGCCATGAACCTCCCAACAGAAGCCTCTGCAGGGCCTACGAGCTGGCATTAGCGGGCTTCTCGCTGCTGCCCACCTGGCAGCAAGGCCTCTAGTCCGCAGCCCTCGCAGCCTGGACATCTAATGGGTCCCTCTTCAGTGAGTCAGCCGGTCTGAAGTCTTATAGTTCTTACCTCCATTCATCTCCTTCTCTCTCACTTCATAGTCTAGTCCAACTCCGTAAGCAGAGAAAGAAAAACAGTCTGCTAAAGCGGAAGTTCACCACCCTTCCTCAGACCCACTGCCATTGTCATCGCGATGCCTGGTGCATGGCAGCCACCTTCCATGGCAGGAAGTGCACTGCTACACTCAGGGAGTGCGTTTCCACGTTCTATTGGAATATTATTTGTCCCCAGCATGGCCCCTCTTCAAACATATTTTTTGCAGGTCCTGTGATTTTGGCTGCCGACAATGTATCTGAAAGCATTTTGTATATGGTAATGACATATTATGCAAAGGGAAAATGGAATGGAAATAAAAGCAAAAAAGTAAATTGTTTTCTACCTTCTCAATCTTTTTAAAAATTACATTTTAATGACAAATATAAAACACGAAGTCTTTCTCCTTTGCTGCTCGATCGATTACCTTTTGGATTCATTTTCTTCATGTTGGCGTACATCCTCTGGTAGGTTTTCTTTTCTCTGTGAGACAGTGTCTGTGGAGAATACATTTTTTGAGGGCTTATGTGTCTGAGAATTTATTTTAATCTCTCTTGAGCTTGGTTTGTTACAGAACTCGACGTTCAAATTTACTTTTCCTAAGCATTTCTAATCGATCGTTCCATTATTTTCTTGAAACTACCATTGATGTGAATCTCACTCCTTTGTAGGTAATCTGTCTGTATCTATCGTCCCTTTTAGGATTGTCTTTTTTGAGAATTTTATCATGCAGTCTCTAAGTGTGAGTTTATTTTAAAATTTTATCCTCCTTGGCACTGATAGGCTCTTTCAGTTTGAGGACTCAGGTCTTTCTTTAGTTCTAGGATGCAGAGTGGTGAGGAAAAAACCAAAAAGGTTAAATAGAGCTATATAATAAAGTGCTGAAGGGGAGAGAAAGGGACGGTGTGGTCTGAGTGTGGGGAAGAATTTTAAGGAGTTCTAGAGAGACGGGGAGAAGATGAGGTTTGGAGGAATTCATTGCCAATAAGGTGAGGAAAATGCCCTAAGGAGATT